TTTCGAAACATATCTTCAAGACTCACGAGGCGTCGTCCATACCAAGTACAAAGTCTTATCCTCAGAAGCCCCAAAGTGTACAAAATGTGACTTCGTGAGATCCACCTCTTGCTTCCCCTCCAAGATTTGTCGGCTATATCAACATTCATCTAGACAGCATGTTTATCGGTTGTACCGGTCGTCTTGATCATCCGCTGGATCACTACTGCATGCATCGGGATATTTTCTTATGCAGGCCTTACGACTTGCATATTATACATATAAGCACGCTTTGATATAGTCGTTGACACGCCAGAACAATCACGTTGAACCCTGTCTGGGCAGATCTTGTATGGTGTTATATTGACAAACTAAATATGGTTGACATAGTGATGCTATCATGCTGGCTGGAAACAGCCTTAACTGAGGCTCATTATGAGTGTTAATGTCGTTCTAAGATTACACACTTGACCATTCTTATAATATCAAGATTAGACGCAATGAAAGGGCCTCATTCGCCAACGGAATTCGCGGCACGAAACTCGACGAGAATCTTTGTCTGGTCAACCGGAGAATATTTATTTCTAAGCTCGACTCGGATGGTTTCACATGCGGTGCATAAAGTCATCTTCAATCTCAGCTATCTGAGATTCGTTTATACCGTGGCTCAAGAAATGGCGATCTCTTCATGTGGGTAGGTAGCATAATCTCTCAGTCACTTGACAGTCTGGTACCATAATACCACCCTTCTCTGCATCTCATCATCACTATTCCATCTTTCGCGAATCCACTGAGCCATCCATCTGCATGGTTCGTGCAGTATCATCGGCACGGGCCAAACATTCATTTGTCCAAGCGCACATCAAGTGAACCCAAGAAATCCTGTTCATGCGAGGCTGAACTGCGCAGAGCTAGCTGTGTTATGTATGCACAGTAGGTAGTAGGCACAACTTCTTGACTCTCGAGGTGACAATCTAGTGTGAGTGTTACCAATCATCATCACAAATCACGATAGCCCGAAGCTTGGCTTACCAATATTCAGCTGTATTGCTTTTTCTCCCTCAACGGGCTCCCCAAATCTTATCAATACATCATGAAACCGTTGCGTGGCTTATCAAACCGGTATACTGAATTCTCCGTGCAAATATTCCGGCGAACAGATGGGATCGCCGGCCGAATTATCAGCTCATCATACCTCTGCCAATGATACTCAACGTCCTGACTACCAATACGCTTTGGCCAACACGCTTCTCTGATCCGGAAGCCGGCCGTCCGTCTTGAAGACGGCCAAATAAGGTTCACGGCAATGCATGATAGATTCCGAAAGCATACCACGGCCTGGAAACCCTTACATTTGACGTCAAACACACATTTTCTTCCAACCGGCAGGTTATGTACGGACTATTCGGAGAATATCGATGCTCGCCAGAGCATTCGAGGATCAAGTGGCTCCTCTTGTCCCTGGAGGTGGATTACTGAAATAGACATCTCGTCGACATCTATTTTCGGATAATCTGGCGACAGAGATGGTCTTTTGCAAAGCTTACAAAGTATTGAGATACACAAGTATTCACGCGTATATTTTATGCACCTACCGTGGTATAACTGACCATGTGGCATTTTGAGCCGAGATCCATACACAAGTGTTCTACTTCACCTCTCAGAGAGGCTAATAAATATCCAAAGAGATATGAGAATCTCTACACGTGAAGAGTGCTGAAGCACATCAGAGCTATTACCTATCCATCCCAACAGTTCTGCATATGCAGCATCAATAACAATAGAAAGTGTGAAAGTTCTCTCCTTGTATCGGAGCCTCCGAAATATCAGTCTCTTGCCATGATCAAAAAGTTTTCTTTCTGGCACACGCCGCAGAATATATAGTGTAGAGTATAATGTTATCATTTTTGAATTATAATCTTTCTCCTCTTCATTTCCCGTCGCACTATCTCATACTTCAGTTTTCATTCATATACTAACTGTGTCTTGTAAAAGCTCAAATCGACGCATAGCATCTCTACAGCACTTTGTATGGATTTTTCAACCTAATATATTTTTTGTATTTTATATTTATTTTCAAATCTTTCAAATCTTTCAAATCTTTCAAATCTTTCAAATCTTTCAAATCTTTCAAATCTTTCAAATCTTTCAAATCTTTCAAATCTTTCAAATCTTTCAAATCTTTCAAAAAAACATAATACTTTGTTTAATTTCCTTTTAAAATTTTATTAATCATTACTTTTAATATTAATATTCTTTTTTTAAAAAAAAGAAATTAACAATAAGCTATAGTAAAATATCAGTTAGTGTATTTCAGATTCAAAAACATTTCGAGTTGAAAAATCCGTATAAAGTGCTATACATCTCTCTCGCTTGAAAAAGGTCTTTCATACTTTATTCCCATCCTCGAAATGTCTTTTGGTGACTACGGTTGCAATTCAACCGTGAGAGAGCATAATAAAAACAGAACGAATAGGTAACTTCCGGATATCCAATCATGAATTCTTCTCTTCTCAACATTTCAAAGCTTGAGATTCTATATATCCTATTTTCCCTCTTCTCATATCTCATATCTGAACATCTAGCTGCAGAGGGGAGAATCCACGGAAAAAAGCTTTCGTCATACGAGAAGTATAGCCTATCTTCTATCAGTAGATTACAAATAAATCCTTCAATACAAATCATTTCATTCCAATTCCCATCTCCCTCAACTAAGCCTTCTGTAAAACCTTCACCTCATAGTAATTCCATCTACCCACCTCTCATACCTACTTTTCCATGTACATTCTAGATGCTCAAGTAACATATCTACACATATTTACATACCTAATCAATACAAAATACCCCCACAATCTCTCCTTCCTATATCTGCAACTTCGTCCACGTGAGAAAGACGGAAATTGGATAGGGGTATACTTATTAAGTAGTAGGTAGTGTGCGGTGGAATGGGAAAATATGTTATATATATGTGACAATATTTTGTGGGGAGTGGTGAGGAGGTTTATTGGATTATTGGGTTATGATTATGGGATGGTAGTGGATAGTAGTGGATGGGAAGGGAGCGAGGTGTGTGGTTTGTGATGTGTGATGTGTGATGAAGGGGTTTGGGGAGAGGGAAGGAGATGGAGAGGGGAAGAGATGGTTGGTTGGGATAGAGGGATAGAGTGAGGTGGATGGACGGATGGATGGATAGATGGGCATGAGAGTTTGAATGGAGGATGAGTGGAAAGTGCGTAGAGTGGAATTTAGGTTGAGGGTTTATATATTGGGTGAGACAGGTTGAGTTGTTCGCTTCGACATGTGTGGAATCGTGTTCTTGTATTATCGAGAATGAATAGAAAGTCATGTGGAACCGAAAATCAAATTCTCGACGTATATAAATCTTAAATTGTATCATAGATAAGTCCCAGTAATCATTGTAACTAACTCCATAAAGGGTATCAATCCCAATACACTAACACCTTCGTTATGCTGCAATATTCATCACATTTCCACTCTTTCCCTTTTTCTGTAGCCGTGCAATTTCAGACAGGATATTCCTTTTCCACGCCTTGTATTCAGCTCTCTTCTTCTCTGTCAAGTAGTCTACTTTCGCTTGTCGCATTGTTCCGAGTCCATATCTCATTTCGTCTTCGCGAACTCGCACTCTTTGAATTTCATCTAGAGCATCCTCGCGTTCTTGATCATCTTCCGTATCATCTGAACCGTCTGCTCTAACCATATTTTGATACCAATCCATTTCCAGGCATCCTTTATTGCAAATCTCCGCCATCCAGCCATTGACATCTTTCGCATTACTCCTCTCCTCTTCATCATCCTCATCCTCCTCCGGTAAATCCCAACCCTCCCATCCTCCACTCCCAACCTTCCTCTCCACCTCTATATCTCCTCTCGCCAATCTCAACACCCTCAATGTCTCCAACCTCTTTTCCTTAAACTCCTCATCGCTCAACACCTCCTCCCCCGTCCTCAACTTCCCCCAAACAATACTCCAAACCGCCATCATCATCGCCGGCCACCTTCCCATCATCTCCTCCCCCTTCCTCGTCTTTTCTTCTTCCCAGAATATCAGACTCTCCACTCCAGCCAAAACATGCGGCGTCGCTTCCTTCATCCCCAATTGCGCACATAGTTCTCTACCTATCACACCCACCCACCTTGGTATCTTCGTCTCATCTCTCTTCTCGTACCGTAATCCTTTTTTCGGAGTGCGAAAACTAGCGAGACTTTTCGATTTTGATGGCGTGCTTCGTTGCGGGAGCGTAGTTTTTATAGGTGTATCATTGTGACCTGGTGTGCGTTTCTTGGGAGTTTGTGCTAATGATGATTTTCTACTCGGCGTCGCATTTCCACTTTCAATTCCACTTCCTTCGACTCTCGCGCGTTTCTTCGGTGTTGTGCTAGCTAGCGTATCCTCGATGTATGCGTATAATTTTTTATAAACTCTAGGAGGAAGTGGGGGTCGAGGTTCGATTTTGGGGAGATTGAGGGTTGTTTTTAGACTAGAATTTGATCAGTAAATAGATAAACAAGTTTTGATCAATTATTTAGGAAACAAACCGTTCGCAAGCAAGATTAGCACAAGCATACGTCCTCCCGATCTCCTGCTCTTGGCTTAATGAACATCTCAGGCGCGATTGTGAAATGAGAGAACTGGTTAGAGCGAGGAGCTCGGGGGGGAGGTTGCCAGAATGTCGGGGGATGAGATTGGAGAGAACCTGAGAGGTAGCTTGATTCATTTTTCGAGTGCCACAATTATTGCGAGAGATTCAATTGCTGTTGTGAAGGAGAAATGTTGGGTGTAGTTAGAAACTTATGGCATTGATAAAGATGTCGATATATCGTATACCTGAGCTTAATCGTTATGAGTGATTATACGGCAGCTCAAAAAATAAAGGTCCAGCCTCGAGGACACACCCTGTCGAATCCTTGTACTGACGTCGGGCCCGGAGCTTACCCCTGAATTCTACATCCAAGCGTCTCGTCTCGCAGATGCGATTCCCATTTCAAATAATCCGATACCGACTTTGTACTTTTGCGACAAAAAACACATTTCATCATAATTACCTTTAACGACCTACGATAATGACTTTGGGACTTGGAAGGATAGGCGGGCTTTTGGCTTGTGTCGGATTGGTCGTTGCACATGGAGGTGTAGCTCATCAGAAACCTTTAGCCGTGGATCCAGACGCGGATTGGGGTACTAGACATATGGCTGGTGAGATTCCTTCCAATTGCTTTGCTTTGGACTTCGAAGCCGATGTTATGTATCAATTGACTAATGTATAAACAGAGGAACATCATATTGAAAATTTTGATGCGGGAGCCTTCTTCACACTGCATGATTTCGATAATAACGGTGTATGGGACCAAGCGGAAATCCTCAAATTCTACGGCATGGAAGACGAAACCGCAAAAGATGTGCCGCAGGATAAGAAGGATAATATATTGAAGGAGATATTGAAGTTGATGGATAATAATAATAATGGACAAGTGGAAAGGGAAGAATGGGATAGATATTCGGGGTCTGGAGGATTGTTACCGGATTTTGGATTGGGACCTGGTCATCATTGGGATATTGAGATGGAGTATGAGATTCATCATTGGCAGAAGTACGTATCACTTCCTTGGGAGAAAATAGATGGAGGGAATGATATCATGAAGAATGCCGGGCTAATTTGATGCAGATATCACGACGAGAATACAAAGGAAGAGGATCTAATACACCCGGAGGATATTGAACATTTCAAGAAACACGATGAATTGGAAGATGAAGCCGACAGAGTTGCAGCTTTGGATAAGATGTCCATTGTTGAACAAAATATTCCTGATAAGTTCAGAAAGGATAAACAATGATTGGTTATGTTTAAATGTATAGACATAATGTTAAGACGTTAAGATGAATAGATTTTACACCTAATAGATAAGTATCAATACATACAGAGTTACCTTTCCCATTGCCCTAGGTTTACATGCAAACACTCTTCCGAGCCATCTCAACAATCGAAAATGCCATGCGCGTGCAGTCATCATCTATTCATGCCTGGCCAGTGGCAGATTATCTCCTCCATCATTTATGTACTTGTTTCAACTTCAAAAACTGCTGGAGCTTTCCTCCCAATATCATACTTTTCACTCGAGCCAAAATAAGGTTTATCCAACCACCCTCTTTTTCTCATACAAAGTAAAAAGAAATTCAGCCATTCAAAATGGCAAAAAACCGTCTAGAGGGAAACCTCTCCGAAATGAAGTTAATTTCCAGCTGCGCTCTTCGATATGAGGGCATCACTGTCGCTTCGCTGCTCAGACACTCCACCCACCCGAAGGTGGTTACAACGCAGCGGTCGACCAACTGCGCCAAGGCGACCCGAATGGAGTGCTGATGACCGAAAGAAGCGACGTTTTTTGAATATATATATATATATATATATCTGAGGATTTAGCCGAATTTGGTGGTGGTGTTGGAGAGGCGATGGGTAAGTTTGTGTTGACGAAATGACTTATTGGGTATGTCTTTTATTCCCCCTCTTGTAATCGGTAAAGAGTGATTAGACCTTTGAATTTTTGGGATTTAGGTATAGAAATCAAATGCTGAATTGGGCTTATGGTAAAATTTTCGACGTCTGGATTTGGGAGATGAGGAGGAATTGCGAAAGCTCGCTTGTCGACAGTAAAAGGTGTACATATATGGTACATCAACTCCTCCACTCTCTCGCGCTTTGAATATTCACTCTTTGATTTCATCAACACGAAAGGCCGAGTCATCCCAAGGTTCCTCTATATTTGACATTGTGTTCTAACCATTCTCTGGAAATAACCTTGGTGCAAAAGACGGGCTCGTCGCCCTTTATGCGATATTGTTGGATAAGAAATCGATGTCGACTTCCATGGTGCTGCCGGTGTGATTTAAAGACATTTGGGGGAGTTGAACATGTTTTCTATTCGATTTTGGAAGCATTACGGTGAAGTCACTGATACATTGCCATCCTTCTCGGTATACATCCATGATAAACTTTAGCCAAAGATTAGTCTGACCGTATGAATAATATAGTGACCATAAAAGGCAGAAAACTTGCAAACGATTTGGATGGGTTCATTAAGAGGATTTTTCGTGACGACGATCATTCTGGAATTTAAGCTCATTTTGCGCTTGTGATGGTTGGGGTGAAGTGGGTTTATGATTGAGGTTATCTCGAATTTGACTATGAGTCTAACGGAAGGAAGGGAATGGAGAGTTTGACGTATTGAGGGGTTTGAAGTATTCTTTGGTGGATCATGCAATGAGAATCGCTGAGAAAATTCCTTTCATATTACGGAAATCGATTGCGTATTGCAAGTATAGCTCCCGCAGTTTGACTCACTCAATAACTAATCACATTATCCTGTTTTTGGGCTTGAAGATCTGCATCAGTTGAATATCATGATGTCCATAGTTTATCTACCGACATAGACGTCAAAAACACAATGCCAAACATCGGGAGCAAAAGTCTTAACAAATTCGACATGCTCAACCTTCACACTCCTTCCATCGGCTTGTTCCTTGAGCCAGGTTTGGAACATCGCCTCAATCTCCCCCTTCCTTCTTTCCACATCTGCAATCCCGACATTCTCATGTAAATGTAACCATCCATCCTCTCCTAGAATATTCATGGCCGGCTTCCATGTAGGTTCGCTCGTAGGCAAGAAACCACAATTTACATGTTTCACTAAACCAAGGCCCTTTATAGTTTCCAACTTTCTTTCAGCCTCCACATTACTCTCCAAGAACACCACAATCTTTTCGTCTTCAACTTCTTCAACCACTTCCCCCTTCTTCACAACCCTTATCTCCCACCCATTGGCTATCGCCCCCCTCCTTAATCCCTCAACACTCCATCCATTCAATTCCCACCCCACTACCCTTCCCACCCCCATCTTCACATAGCTAAAAACGAAATATCCAATTCCCGCATACAAATCCACCGCCGTCCAATCCCTCCTCTCTTCCTTCCCTATTTCCCTCTTCCCATTCCCACTCTCCATCGAACCAGCATCGTGAAACCCCAACAACCGAGCCTTCTCCTTGACATTCCCCCTACTAAACATAGTCCACCTAGGCGCCCAAACCTGTTCAATCCCATTCTGTTTCGTACTCACCCAAAACGCCTTTTCGAAATCCTCTTCCGTAGGTTCATCACCTTTGAAATCGGGCCCAAAATCTCCATGTAACATGAGTAATCCACTAGGACTTCTCAAAATATTCTCTTCTTCGGATTCTCCCTCCTTCTCTTTCTCGTGAAGAGGTATTCCAGCATTAATAGCAAGATGCGTGAGTTTCTTGCCTTCTTTCTTCGATACACTTTGCAGAATTTGTGTAAAAAATGCTTCTTTTTGGGAAGGAGAAATGAGAGAGAGGAGAGAAACCCAACGTGGCGAGGAAAATGATCCAGAGGGGAGAAGAAGCATGGGTGAGTATATGACCCAGCGCTTGGGGGAGGTGGATACAAGTAAATCGAGAGAAGCTGAGATTTCTGAAAATAATGTGGAAGGGAGTGTTTGGAAAAATGATCGGATGGTGGATTCGATAGGATTCTGAGGTTTAGGTTTTGGGGGACGTTTGGCTTTGGGCGGGGATGTAATATGTGATTCCATGATGAATAGTCTGGGAAATACGAGACTTTGTGGAGTTATGTTTATATTCGAAAATTGTGATCGAAGAAAGAGATAATCTACGATATTTACCTCACGTTTTGCTTCAGTTCAATTTCTAGTGATCTTCAAGGTGTGAGTTTATTGGTACTCGATCACGATCACATGATACGGCAGCCTTCGACATCGCTAAATTTACTAAAACCGCATCTTGCGAGGTCTAAACCCACATCTCATTATGTAAGCCGAGGTTTTGGGACTTCATGTCTATCAAACTCTTCAGTTCCAGAATATTGTGACAAGCCTGAAATTTAGCAGCTTTACAGAAAGTTTGAAATCTTGTGTACTCGTTTCGGAGAGAATTCTGGATACATCAAAGAAGCACAATATGCTGATACTTTATGATCAAAGTTGTACAAGTTGTACAAGTTCAGTCAAAAATCCGTGATACTGCAAATCTCAATGAAGCTATTGATCTCAAAACACTATAGGTTTCGGGAGCTAGAACAGTTTCCAATGTCTACTGTTTCTTCCTGGCTTGTACATATCTCTTGTTGAACTCCCAGTGAGCTTCTGGCAACCTCTCTTCTTTCTACTAACTGTACTTTATACTAGGTAATTATGCCCAGCTTCCGATCAGCTTTGTAGGAAAATTTTGTGAGCATCAAGTATCCTCCTTTCAGAACATTTTCCTTTCAATTTTGAGCACCAATTGAATTTGATTGATATGCTATGGATTTCAGATTTTCAACATCAATCTCTGCCAATGATCTATATACTAGAGTTTTCCAGATACAAGCTAGAGATCTGAAGATCAAAAAGCTTTACCGCACATCTCACATCTTTAAGCTTTCGAGATATTATTCAATCAGCACTCTAGACTAAAATTGGGAAGCCATAAGCTCCAGTGTACCATTTCAGTCTTGAATTGTCTAGAGCGATTTTGACCTTATCTTCCTGAAATTGTTGTTTCCTGTCCTGGACCTCAACTTATATCAGTTTCTTAAAAGGGGAATTTTATCTAGTAAGATCTTACCTAGGTAATATTGTTTCCACGATAAATCCTCCCATCGAAGTTCGAACGTCGAAATGCAAAAGGACGAAATACTATCATCGTGTATCAATTTTCGTCTTCTCAAGTCAGTTGGCTACCATATGCTAGCTAAGCTCCTAGCTAATTAACTTCACTCAAGTCAAGAAGAAAACGAGGGAAACTCCAACTCGTCGCAGAAGCGAACTGTAGCAGTCGCTCGAGAGAGACGATTCGGAATTTCTACAACTTCACTTCAGCTTCTCTTAAGAATACATCTGCATATGCACCAATCAGCTCCTCTCATCCATCCCCCAAGAAAGATCTCGAACTACTCGCTTTCGAAGGACACTATCGCTTCATAAAGGGGTTTCCCTGTGGAGTACAAGATCACTCCACTCTCCGTTCAATATCGTTCAATATTCAAACAAAAACAAACTTCCATAAAAATCTTCTTCTTAAATAAACTATACTCTCAAGCCATATTCGATTTCTCCCCCGTTGCGTCACAAATCTCTGCACACACACACACTAGAAAATTCAATGAAAAATTCAATATCACAAATAGTCTAGAGCGTCTGTATCTAGGAGTTAGAAAAAAGCATCAAGACTTATTTGTATATTATAGTTAACCCGTATCCCGGGATCTCTACTGTGAAATTGTGAAGCTTAGAGTAAGATGGAAAACTTGCTACCTACTAGGTAGATACCTAGGCTTTATGGATTCTTGAAATATATCTCTATTCAATCTCGTCCTATCCATCCATCCATCCATCCTAAACAAATTGGATATAAAACCCAACACTAAACCTAAACCCAACATTAAACCCAACATTAAACCTAAATCAAAATCAAAATCAAAATCAAAATCAAAATCAAAATCAAAATCAAAATCAAAATCAAAATCAAAATCAAAATCAAAATCAAAATCAAAATCAAAATCAAAATCAAAATCAAAATCAAAAGCCAAATACTTCAAATAATTCAAATAATCCACAACTAAAAAATTCTATATATATATACCTCCACAACCCCCTTCCCCTTCCCCTTCCCCAATCCCCTCCCCACTCCCCTCCTCACTTCCATCATCACCAATCCTCAATCCTAACTCCTAACTCCTCACTCCTAACTCCTCAAGAATCCCACAACCTTCTACTACCTACCCACCTACCTACCTACCCACCTACCTACCTACCCACCTACCTACCTACCCACCTACCTACCTACCCACCCACTCACCTATCTACCTCCCTCCTACCTACCTACCATCCCTTTCCTCACGCCCATCCCCATCCCCCATTTCCAATAAAAACACAAAACACAAAATACACCTCCACACACCTCCACACACCTCCACACACCTCCACACACCTCCACACACCTCCACACAAGTTACTCACTCCAGTGCACTCTATATAAATCCCCATCCTCCCACCCAATCAGCAATCCCTAGCCCTCAAAGAATCCACAACATCCATTCCTATTGTGCCGCATGCCGTACTTGTACTGCCTACATACCTAGGTACATACAAGTAATGGAAATATTCACTTCTTCCAACTCCCATCAACTCCCATCAATCAGAATCAATCAGAATCAATCTTCAAGTGCTACACATACCATCCCATCACATCAAACATTTCAAAACCATCACACAATTAGCAACCAGATTTTAATATTTAAAAGATTTTCATTCAATTCTTTCTCTTCTACTCTTTCTATCCACTCTCCTCTCCTAAATGCCATTGCTTAATCTGTGTTACATACAACTAACTGTTCACATCGGGTATTATTCTCAAGTCGCTCGCTCCACCTAACAAAAAAAAAAAGACTAGTATCACAATACATATCATTCCCATTCGCATGGCCATCCATCCACGCAACCATCTATCCACCACTCCCAATTTCCCTCCTTACCCAACCTCAGAGTTGATACCTCTCTATCAACTCCGTCTTTCATCCACAAATCCAGTGAAGAAACCTCTTTTGAGAGAATCTTGTAAGAAAACTTAACAAAAAAAGTAAAAAAAGTGATATAAAAGTGTGATGGAGAGTGCTTAGCTAGCTAAACCCAGCAAAAAATCGACAGATATTGCCTCACCATCCAACGCCTCCTCCGAAAACACGCTTGAGAGAAATGAAAAGGTGAGATTGAAAAATAAAGGGTAGAGGCGTTGTTCTAGAAAGTTTAATGCATTCAAAAAGATTCGTCCATTCCGAGTTTCTTCAAAAGCATTAAAGGCTGTAGTGGCTAATGACCACCAAGAGCGCTTATCCTAGCTCCTGCAGGGCGGCCGAGTAATCCTCCTGGCTTTCCACTCATGCTGTGTCGTAGGCTTCCAGTGTCGCTTCGGCCACCAAGTTCCTCATCGCTGTCTTCGATGATTCTGGTTGGTAAGTCATCTCGGACATGGTATTGCTGGCTATGTCTTTCGGGTGTAGTGACAGAGGAGCTAGCGATAGACATGGCGGTGCTGGATCTGTGGCTGAGATCTGGAGTTGGAGGAATGCTGGAACCGCGACCGCTTGGATGAAGCATGCTGTCTTCCCCTGATTGTTCACCATCACTGGCCATTGTTGAAAGATTGCTTTCACGATGTCTTCGTTGCTCCCTCATGGCAAGTTCCTCAGCTTCGGCATCCGCATCATGAGCCATCATCAGACCCTCAACAGCTGCTGCACATTGATCGCTAATGTTTCGGATGATGTGAGCAATGGCATCAGTCTTGTCTCGAAGGTGACGATCGGCAACATCGGCAATGCTGATTGCACTGTAGCGTTTACTATTTCGTACGCTACCAACTAGTCTGGACTCCATCTCAGGAGTCATATCATCGCCAGATCGGCTGATTCGGTGGGAACGTGAGGGTGTACGAGACGAAGCACGCGATGATCCACGCTCGGAAGGTCCTCTGGATGTGGGTCTCTTGCCTTCGGCCTTGCCCTCCTCGGCAATCTCGCTCATCATTTCTCCCTCTTCTTGGTCGAATTCAGCATCGAGATACTCAGTGATATCTGGACTCTTCTGGATAGTGCGGACCAAGTGCTCCAAGTGGTGAGATTGGCCACCGATAAGACTGCGGAGATGTAGCACAACTCGCTGTGCCTCATCTCGTTGTCGCAGTAGGGTGGAGTTGGTGCGTTGAAGGTCTGCAAGCTCTTTCTTGTTGCGCTTGCGTTCACGCTCGAGTTCTTCAGCAATCTCTTGTTGGAGAACAAGCGCTTCGAGGGCATCATCACGCTGCTTTTCTGTACCAGAGAGACGGGTGCTGAGACGAGCTGCGTCGTCTTTCTGTTGGTCAATAAGGCCGGTAAGACGTCTGTTTTCCCGTTTGTGGGTTTCAATCTTGACCTTAAGATCTTGAGTCTCCTTAGTAAGTTGCTCAGCAAAGGCTTGGAACTTGAGGAATTGTTGTTTCCAGCTTTCCAGTTCTTCAACCAAGAAATTATTTCTCTTGGTGACTTTGCCGAGCTCTGTATCCATGCGACCCTTGAGGTTGATGAAATCTTGCCATGCCTCAAGCGCATCTCTGGAGTATTGATTTCTCTCGCGTACAATCTCATTCAGATGTCTCATAGAAACCTTAGTCATTAAGGGTTTCTTTTGAGCTCCTCCAAATACGGCCTTGATTCCGGTATTTCGTCCCTGAAAAGAGTTAGTGCATTCTAGAAAAAGCATGTTCAAATTTTACTGACCATCTTCTCACAAACATGATCCATCACGGCCATAGTAGCATCTTGATTCCACCATTCTGGGTCTTGAATAGACTCGACTTCACCGCGCATAACAATGATTTGACCAGCTGGAATTAATTTACCACCGCCATAAGCTGAGCGTAGATGCTGTGGTACACCAGAAGGTGTGACATCACCGTTGAGAGCTTGAGTAATGCGATTGACCATCTTTGTGCGTTGACCAGCAGTCAAAGCGGTAGGTGGGCTAGAGGTTAGAACGAAGTTGCGATCCAAATCCACAACCAAAGCATCAGTGGGTGCGGTGAATAAGGATCGACATTCTGCTGTGATTCCAAGAATGTATGGCCCAGGCTCCTGAACAAGTTCTTGCGCGTGTCTTGCATGAACAACTGGAACATAAAGGCCACTCCATTCGTAAACTCGAACAAAGTATCGAATAGTCTCTGAAGCCACTGTGAGCATGGCAGGGTAATGGGAGACGAAGATGATCCGACGAGTGGGTGATAAAGCTGCTTCAATTACTCCTACAATGTTAGGAATAGATAAGCAAGAGAACAATGGCCACATGGCGAAGTTCTGGAAGCCCGTTGGAGAGGATGGGAATTGGTAACAAAGCGCGTAGTCCTTCATGTCAATTCGTACGAGATCATTGAGCCTGGGAGCTGGAAAGCTCAATATTCTCGAGACCTCTTCCGCGTGGAAAAGATTGGTAGCTTTGTTCCAATGAATCCACATTCCTCGGAGGTAGTCACCTAGCAGATTATACAATGGGTATCTGGAAAGGAAAGACAAGCAGTATGGGATCCAGTAAGTTTCGTCTGCCGAGTCGTAGAAGTCCGATTCTGTCCTTCTTCTCAAATCGCGAATTGTCTCTGCACGCTTCTCATCTGCTCGGGACCAAACTCGTAATGCGATACCGTACAAAGTATGCGAAGAATCTTGCTGAAGAACGAAGGAATGGTGAACGCAATGAGGTTGACTACGTCCTGTACAGATTTCGACATCGTGAGGGAAGCATGCCTACTGTCAATTAGTAAAATCTTACCAAGGACTCATTTCAATCCTTACCCTCATTGCAGAGTGGAGAGCTCTGGCGATTTCATTATCTTGCTCCAGTCGAGGACTGCTACCGAGAATCTCAGGAAGCCAAAATTGACCCACGGCGCCTTTCATATGTTGAATCTTTCCTTGCGCTGGAGCTGGAGCCTTCACCCATTGTGCTGGTTCTCGACCAACACCGCATACCATGTAGGCATGAGTGAGGGTTTTTGGTGTGCGAGCTTGAGGTTTTGCGTTGAGTGAAGAAGGAATGGGTTGTGTAATTCTCGAGTGGAGAGATGAAGTTCGGCTAGGAATTATGAGGTTGTGATCCTGGTTATTTTCCCGAGTGCTAGGGCGCTCATCACCGCGGTCTCTGGTTCTGGGTCGAAGGAAATTGGATGAACTTGTAAGAGATGGAGCCATGGTTGGAGATTTCAAGAGAAGTTACGACTTCTCTGATTGAATAATCCGAGTATGACGCTCCTCTGAAAGAATAGAAGACAATTGGAAAGAATACTGAAGATATGTCGCGAAGCCGATAGATGCCGACAAGAATAGTATGGTCGTAGAAGCGTTGAAGAATCAAAGGAGTGTAGTATATTGAGTATATTGCGTGAATTGATTATATCATTCGACCATGGAAATTCACTCTTTTTTTCTTGGAAACGAAGTCTCGAGCTCTTGACGTTTTGCAGTGGCCCCCTTTTTGGTACAATGTGTGTTTCTTGTTCCCTTCGTAGTCCAGGTTGGTAGAATTGACGATGGCACCTTTGATATCTTGATCCTACCTTTCTGCTGCTTTCTGCAAATTGCAGATTGTGGTGCAGTCACGAAACTTCAAGATTGAAAGAATGAAAGATAGGAAAACGAGTGAATGTAGGGAAAGGAAAGGAAGAAATCCAGATGATGAATAGATATGGTAGACCAGCAAGCAAGCAAGCAATCAAGCAAGCAGGCAAAGGGCAGGTAAGGAAAAGCAGGCAAAGTAGGTAGGTAGGCAAAGGACCCAAAAGAGGAGCATGCACGGAAGGTTAAAATTGACCAGGGGAGGGAGAGAGGAAAGCATTAAAAGCGAAGCTCATGATATTATTTATTATTTATTATCTTGGTAGGTATTGTTCATTAATTATGATTTATCATCCATTAATTATGTATCCCCAGTCCCAAAAGGGATTTAGCGTGGTTTTAGTTTTAGGGTGCGAGGTGAGGGTCTAATATAATTGGGTTAAGATTTAGGAAGATTCGAAGAGTGGGTCGATGTTCAGGAGATTGTATGGAAAAAGAAAAGCTAATCATTAGTATACTAGGTAGTCAACCGTCAAAATGAATGAGTGATTGATTGAAAGATCGTATCGTATACTTTTGATGCCGATGATAAGTCATCTGTCTAGATAGTATCTACCGAGTGGGCAATCAGTAGTAGTATTTACATATATAATATATCATCACAATTATATAATCACAATTATATAATCACAATTATATAATCACAATTATATAATCACAATTATATATCCCTATTGAGTATATCTTTTCAAGTCTTTCCCTGTGATAGTAGGTAATCATGAGTAGTGAGTACAGTGATGGAGAGAGAAAGGTCAGGAAATTCCAAGGAAAGCGAAGAGAAGAAAGGAAAAGAACGACGGCCAAAAGAAATTCCCGGAAAAGTAAATCAATCCCCTCTCCCAAAATAAAATCACACTCAAACATTTCCACCACCCTATTCCACATCAAGGCATTGTTATTGTTCAATTGGAAGATGTAATTGGAGAATGGCGAATGGACCCAAATGCAGTGACACTGTGACGGGTAGCAAAATCGAGGGGTGCTTTGATGTTTCTTGATGTTTCTTCTCCATTTCCCGTACCATTTATATTCATATCATACATTAGTGTGATGTGTACTTACATTAGTCTCATGCGCGATATTGCAGCTGTTTGTATCTTTCAACTTTGCTCCATCAATGGCCCATGGGAGATCAAACAAGAGAAGCAGAAGAAGAAAATGTATCCAATACCCAATCCCCATATCTCCTCCCACTTTCTACCTCCCTCCTCCAATCGATTCATCATATCACAATCATCAAAAGGAACGAAATCTCGAACGGTTCGCTTTCATTTATCCATCAACCCTGCCCTCGTTCACGGGATGTTTCCCTTCCCAGCTTCTTCCCCCTTGCTCTAGTCCATAACAGGGTCGACACAACTTTACCAAATATCGCAACGATAATCTGCTATTATACGAAGGAGAGAGTCGAGACGTACCAACGGATACACATCCAACACAGACAAACATTATTGGGAAAGGGAAAGATTCAGCTCATGGCCGTTTCTAGGTTTGCCTCAGAAGGTATTTATCCATCAAATCTCCCCTCAATTTCTGATATATGACACAAAAATCTTAACTCATGCGCAAACACGCCCGGACGCGTAGTACTACTACTACTACTACTACTACTACTACAGTACTACTACTACTACTACCACCACCACCATCACCACCACCACTACCACTAACGTACCGTCCGTCTACAAAACATCAACCTATATCGTGGTCAACATGTGGTTTTCCGCCTTCAAATTTGATTACTCCGGACTTCGTATGGATGTGCGAATGTAACCAATGATCCAAAAGGAACTCTAACTCTTTTCCAACTGGTCAAGGGTCAAATCCAGGCACGGATAGCAAACTCAGGTACGCCCATCCCATCATACAGGGCCGCCACACAAGCCCATTCACAGTGCACACAAGCACAAGCACACGCACATGAGTCTTACTTGAAGCACAATTGATATGAATCGAAGCTCCGTAGTGTCTCCGCACATGTGGCCTTTGTTATTATTGTCATCGGCAGTCAATCAAATTTCCCCGACACGAGTGGACTTCTGGAATTCTCCTTTGGGCCATTTAAGATTTTGGTATTCAAACTAACCATTTGGAAAATGAAAACTGCTGCCAAAGTTGATCTGTGCTCATTATTGGGATCCATTGGATATCTACCAAGTATCTACTGGGCCCTTGCATGTGTTTGATTTTGATCGCAAATTAATATACAAATCGAGGCTGGAACACCGGAACAAGACTACCTCTCCTATACATTTTCAAGAGGGGAAGACAATTGACGTTGGGCAATGGGCAATGGGCAATGGGCAATGGACAATGAGCAATGAGCAATGAGCAATCCAAGAGCCCACTGTTGGTTATTCGGAACAAAATAAAAATCCTTCCCAAAGCAGCAACCGTTGAACCATGGATCATTGATACGGCTCCGGTCGGTACCAAACTCGAGACTTGACACTGACCTCGATTCGTCACCATCCCGAAGTTCTTTTATATTAATATTTGAACAAGTCAATAACTTTAATTCATTACAAATTAACATACTTCTTGCATGAGTCTTTCGTCTCCAGATTTTGCAACTAAGCATGAAATTCTCTCCCTCATCTACCAGTCTCAGTGACAGCAATACCGGTCGGTCAGCACTATCAAAAACATTCGTATCACGCGTGTCACGGTATCACGACACAGATATCACGCACGCATTGACCCAACCAACCCAAATAGTTCTTTTGATCCGCGTCCATGCAAAGCCCACAGATGGCATGGAGATTGCCACCACCGATTCACCTATGTACATATTTATCGAACCTTATCGCCTTAATACTTTGTCGCGGCAGTTTCCAAGAGAGAGTGGCAGCTCGGCATTTCAACAAGACGCGAAATGCATCAAGGATGAAATCATGTAGTCATGATTCAGTTTTTCATGCGCTATAACCATGTGATTGAGGGTTCGGAATTCACGGTACAGAGTGAACGTCTCCCAAGTACAATTTTTTGGTCGATTTTTTGGCCCGACATTGCCCCAAGATCGCTTAGATACCTTGGTGAGATAAAAAAAAAATCGAGTCTAGCATCAAGGGATCTCCCCAAGTTTCCGCATCTAAACATGCGGGCAACAAGTCTAGCCGGCGACGGCGAATAATGGCACATTTCATGATGGTAGAACCATGTGCGCCGAGGCTGCGCGACTTCTTCATTTGAGAACTAATAGCTGAGTAGTGGGTACTCCCTCAATCATGTGTGGAGAGTATCAAGTAAAAAGCTCCTTCGCGATCTTTTCATTCCTAAGTAAGGATATGCTTGCTCATGACCAGTGGCACCTCCAATTACTACTACTACAAACTTTTGATCAGCAATCTCATTGGCCAAGCTAAATCACAGATCTGAACATCCAAGAGTCATGGGTATCGAATAAACAAGCTACCAGCCTGCATATTGGTCACATTTTGAACATCAGATGAAATGGATGGTGACAGTATGACTTCTGACAGCTTGTGGCGGCATGCAATTCTTAACAGTACATTATCGTATGATGTTTCTGTCTGGTTCATTTATATTGAGTCGTATTCGTATCAATCGTCCCAACTTCCAGGCGACTGGATTACCCCCTCGCGGTCGTCCACAATATCGATTTATGCTCCGAAGCAGATTCGTCTACCCCACGACGGTATCATTATTCCTGTGCTCTAGATAGGGTTTCCTTGTTGAGCCGCAGTCTAGCAACAGCAATATTGAGTAAGAGGGAGGAATACATGAGCATACTAATACAAAAATCCCTGAATCAAGACGGTTAAGATCCGCACGACATAAGGATTAGAACACGACTAGACTACGCAGCCTTGTCTTTAATATATGTAGTAAAAACTTTATCTCGATCGATTCATGACGGATGAAAGTTTCTTTCTTTGATAGGTATGTAAAGACGATTGATTTTCGTTTTTATATTGGGGCGGGGTTGAGGTCTGACATCTCTAACCGAGGGACTCGTCAGCTCAGATATCGTTTGTTTGCATCTCGAATATTCAACTGATATGTCGTTGATGTCTTTGCTATACTCTGTAGATGCCAGTACTGGACTCATACAAATTCGAGTATGGGGATTTCAGGACCTGGATTTGTATGGATACGATTATTCGAAAGAGTAAACCATTGGTATTATCCTTAGCTATGTTGCAGAGGTCATTGTTAACTCCAAGAAGCCACTTCAGCAAATCGATGGGTAATATGTTAATTGTTAATCGGGAGTATTGATGAGTACTAGGAAGGATTGTGAGGGTATGCAATTGAATATACACTTTTGACAACAGAGAGGTCCAGATAAATGTTGAGCATTCTATTGCCTATAAATTTTCGAGGACAATTCAGAGACTACAGTGATACCACCTAGATCTTTTCAATTGCATTGCATGGATATAAATGTTGAGCTAAGATTATTTTTTATATCGTAGAATTATCATATCGTAGTTGTCTTTGGAAGCTATCTAAATTGAACACGATATCTAAAACCAATTAGACTAAAATGCCTCAGCGAGAAGCACATGAACGAACGAACTACTTACTACTAATAAAACATTGATTCCATG